TTGAGCGGGCAGACCACCACGCTCCCACCTCTGGGCCTTTGCACTGGCTGTGCCCTTGGCCTGGATGGCTCTTCCTCTGGTGACCACGCCACTGCCTTGCTTCCCTGTCCAACAGTACATTGTGGTCTGCACAGTTCATCACCCAGAGTGGACTGCAAACCCCTCGAGGTCAGAAAGGCACATTTCGGTCACCTCAACACTTTACCAGCATACAGCTGGTGCTCAATAAGGGCAGCTGCAGTAGCTGGTCTCCAAACAAGTTGCGCTGGGTCCTGCTCCCCCACCTGTGTGCAAGTACTGTGTCTTGACTTGGCAAAGCCCCGGCTCTCCGCCGCTAATCACCAAAACTCCTCCTCTTTCCAGACAATATCCCTGAGTTGAGGCCGCAGCGACTCTCCTTCCTGACCTGCAGTGTCATTTATGCACCCAGGCCTTCTTCTTGAATGGTGCCGCCATTCAACCAGCACGGGGGGTTCCTGCTACCTGTGCAGGCTCTGCAGCAAGGTCTCTGCTTTCAAGGTGGTGGGACACAGATAACACAAGAAAACCCACAAGGTAACTAGAGTGCAGTCAGTGACATGCAGGGAAGAAGCAGGGTGGTCTGAGGGTGGGGGGGCAGCTAGATAATGGAGCATGGGGCAGGCTCTCTGAGCAGAAATTTTAAGGAGCCAGCCATGTGCGAGAACAGGGAACAGCATTAAGGCCAGGGGGAACAGCAAGTGCAAAGACCATGTGAATAGAGTGAGCCTGCTGCATTTCAGGAATGGAAGGTGACAGGTGCAGTCAGCAGTGAGCAGACTGCTGGGGTGGGGAAGGGGGGCAGGGGCGAGTGTAGAGCCCGGGGTGGGACGGTAAGCAGGGGCCAGAGCACACACGGCTCTGAAAGCCGGGATCAGGGGTTTTTCTGGGTGGGTGGGAAATCCTTGAAATTTAAGCAGAAAGGCACGTTATTTGACCCATATTTGGAGGAGTTCACTCTGTGGCATGGAGAACAGTGTGGAGGGGCGAGGGTGGGAGCAGACAGGTTGAGGAGGAAGCTGAGGTCCTCTGAGGGAAAAGGGGTCTTCTAACAGGTGTGATGGTGGAGGTGGGAGAAGGGGGTGGTTCTGGAGGTCAGGTGGGCAGGTGAGAGGAAGGGAGGGGTCAGGGATGACTTCTTGGTGCTGGGCTTAAGCAAAAGGGTGGGTGGTGGGAGCAGGAAGATGTGAGAAGGAGCAAGTTCCATGGAGGGAAGGAGCAGAGATAAATTTGAAGCTACACTGTCTTCTGGGTATCAAAGTCGCCAGTCCTGGCTCCTCTGTGAGGCTGCCATCTGTCTGAGCACTTTCTTCCTGTTCAAGCCACCCTCCCCAGGTCTGCCTTGTAGTCCTAGCTCTGCGCTCCATAGGAAATCCCTCCAGAGATCCTCCAAGGATGAGCTGGGGTTTGGGGACTACAGCGTGACAAGAGGTGGCCAGCGACAAGCATTCGTGTTCTCTACACAAACATCCCTGACTGGAGTCACCCTGGGAAGCTTCGTGAGCTTCATCACAGAGCAGAGTGAAACCCCAAACATGAACTCAGACCCCCACTTTGCCACAGACTCCAGGCAGCCACCCTTGGAGACTTAGCTTCTCATTTGTGAGATGGGAATCCCATAAGCCACCATGCAATGTGGCTCTGAGTAGGAAATGAATAGATATATAAAGTTGCCAGTACATAGTGAAAGTGAAGTTGCTCAGTCATGCCCGACTCTTTGCGACCCCATGGACTGTAGCGTACCACACTCCTACGTCCATGGGATTTTCCAGGCAAGAGTACTGGAGTGGGTTGCCATTTCCTTCACCAGAGGATCTTCCTGACCCAGGGATTGAACCTGGTTCTCCTGCAATGTAGGTAGATGCTTTACCATCTGAGCCACCAGGGAAGTCCTCCAGTACATAGTAGTACATGCTCCAGTACATGCTCACTAAATAATAATAGTAGCTAGCACTTCAGGAGAACTGTCCAGGGTGCAGGCAGTGTTCTAGGCAGACTTACATATATTAGTTTATGTGGGACTTCCCTGGGGGTCCAGTGGCTAAGACTCCATGCTCCCAAAGCAGGGAACATGGGTTCAATCCCTAGTCAGGGAACTAGATCCCATATGCTGCAACCAAGTCCTAGTGCAGCTGAATAAATAAATATAGAAGTTTATGTAATTTTCATTATAACCATGAGGTGTGTATTAGTCAGGATTCTCCAGATAAACAGAACAGAATATTGATAGAGAGAGAGAGAGAAAGAAGAGAGGGAGGAATTGGCTCATGTGACTATGGGGCTTTGATGAGCCCACAATCTGCTGGGGGTAGGCATATAGGCCGGAGACTCAAGGAAGAGCTGCAGTTCAAGTCCAAAGGTGCTGGCAGATTCCTTCTTGCTTGGGGGAAGTCAGTCTTTCCCTTAAGGCCTTTGACTGATCGGATGAGGCCAACCCACATTAGGGAGGGTAATCTGCTTTACTCAAGGTCCACTGATTTAAAAGTTAATCTCATTCAAAAAACACCTTCACAGAAACATCCAGAATAATGCTTGACAAAATATCTGGGCACTGTAGCCCAGTCAAGTTGACACAGAAAATTAACTCTACAAGGTGGGTAAGAATAGTATCCCTAGTTTACAGAAGAGAAGACAGGCAGAGGGAGGGTAGGACTGCCCAAGGTCTGAACAGCCAGACTCTAAACTCCTGCCGTCTGACTGCAGAGCTGACTCTTTTAACCATGACAGTAAGTGGCCATTATCATAAGCACAGCAGCATAAATTAAATTTCTCCATCCATCCTTTTCCTGGCCTGAGAGTGGGAGGCAGAGAAACCGGGGAAGCTTTCCCTGGGTGGGGCCCTGCCTTGCTTAGGAAGCAGCACAGAATCTGAGGCTCAGAGATTGAGGGCAGGGCACCTGGGAGATTATCTGGTCCAGTCCATGACTCTATGCGGGAGGAAACTGAGGCTGAGAGTAGAGAAGGGACTCACCCGGGGTCCCAGGGCTTCAGAAAGTGATGGTGACGACAATAAAAATCATGATTCTACAGCAGTTATTGTGTATGAGGGACTTTTCTGCATTAACTTCTTGAATCTTCTACATGTGAGACAGAGAGCGTCATTATCCCTGTTTTTTCAAGGAGTGAGGAAACTGAGGCAGAGAGGTCACGAAACTGGTGCCAGAATCTCAGCCCAGGCTCAACCAGTCACTGCACCTCTGAGGTTCAGGGCAAGTTTCTTGGGGAGGAGGGGGTGTGCCTGTGTGCTAAGTCACCGCAGTCATGTCCGACTCTGGGAGACCCCTATGGACCATTAGCCTTCCAGCCTTCTCTGTGCATGGATTCTCCAGGCGTGAATACGGGAATGGCTGGCCAAGCCTCCTCCAGGGGAGCGTCCTAACAGGGATCGAACCAGTGTCTCTTAAGTCTCCTGCGTTGGGAGGCGGGTTCCTTACCACTAGCGCCTCTCCCGGTTCGCCCCCCCTTCCCAGTTCCCCCACCTAGGGCTCTGGCTACAAGTGGCCGCTGAGAAGATGCTGCAGTTCAAGTTGCTGAGGCGGCCTCAGCCTCCTGTTCACAGAGGAGATGCCCTGTCATACGGCGGTGTGCACACCTGAAACACCCCTGCCCAGGTGACAGGTATGTGTGCGCATGTGCCTCATCCCACAGCTGGACACAGCACCCATGCCAACTCACAAATGGATACATCCCAACACACTGGCACACACACCTAAACAAGGAAACACATCCTCAAGAGCACACAACTGCGAAACCCCACGTGAACACGCACAACCCCCCCCCCCACTCATGCCCCCTATATATAAACCAGGACACACCTTTCCTCATCCCAATGAACATATAAGCAAACACTGATACACACAAAACATAGGAACCCACACTCAGAAACACACCATGCAATCACAGCTACCCCAATTCACAGCCCATCTTTCACACGCAGGCATATTCCTCTACTGATCCAGGGTTCAAAGCACCTGCCCACAAGGTGAGCCGCTAATGTGAGCCACGTGTTCTTCCACAGGTCCCACACCCCCAAGGGCCAGAACCCGGCCCCCCCCCACCCCGGCTGTCCACCCCCACAACTCACCACCCCCATAAGTAGGAATAACACAGATCGTTCCAATCCCTTCACTACCCGGCAACTCCCAGTACACACTCATCCCTAAATACAAGGGACCACCCTCCCCCAAATAACTGCACCCCGCCCACGTGCAGGCATTTGCCCAGTTCCTCCCCCCACCCCCCCGCGAGAATCCTGACCCCAGCGGACAGCGCCCAGAGCCCAGCGTCCAGCGTCCAAGGACTTGCCCCGCCGCTCCTTGTCTCCACCCCCTTCGCAAACTCCGGGTGAGCCCTGGCACCTGCCGGGCCAACGCCGGGGCAGGTCAGAGCCCTACCACCCAGTCTCCGAGGGCCGCCGCGCAGAGCCCCCACCCCCGCAGCGTGGACCAGGCGCTCACAGTCCGGGAAGGAGGGGCAAGGCAGCTCCTCAGGCGTTAGAAACTCACAGCCGTTCGGGCACGATCCGGGCCCCCCGCCCTACCCCCGCCCTGCTCCTGGATCTCACCTTCTCACAGGGAAAACCCAGCATCTCTATTAACCCTTCCGTGGCTGCTGCCGCACCGCGGTAAGGACCCAGGGAGAAATCCCAGCAGTGCCCAGCGGTCGGCCCCGCAGCCCCAGGGGGAGGATCCGGCTGCACACGTTGCGCGGATCTAGGGGGCTTAGGCCCCCCACTCTCCATGCACCCACTTTCATCAGCACCGGGGAGAACCTGAGGGACGAGGAGGGAGGAGGGAGGAGGGGATGCGAGTACCAGACGTCTTAGGGGGCAGGAGCTGGGGATGGGGGCAACAGAAAGCGAGCAGGACCACGGGGCAGGCGGGCGAGGACAAGCCCCCACAAAGTCCCCCGCAGGCTCAGAGCGGCGCGTGCACGAAGCGGGAGGGAAGGTTGGAGGGAAGAACGACCGGAGGCTGCCTTACCTGATTTTCTCTTGGAACTGCCGTAGTCTCTGAAAAAGAAGCAACAACACACAGACATGGTTAGGGTCGCGCGGGGCCGCGAGGCTGCTGCGCTGCGGCTGCCGGGCACTCACGGGCCACTGCTCATGTGATTCCCGCTGCCGGCGAGCCGCGCGCTCCGCAGCCGCACGCACTGCGCGCCGCGCCCGCCCTCGGGGCCCCCGCCTGCCCGCCCTCCGCTCCGGGCGCGATCGGCCCGCCCCGGCCCGCCCCGCCCGGCCGCCTGCACCCCCGCCCCGCCCCGCTCCGCCCCGGCTCGGAGGGCCACTCGAGCCCCTTCCCCCGAACGCCGATGGGGGAGGACGAGGCAGGTTCCCAAGCACTTCGTTAACAGGGAAACTGAGGCCCCAGGGAGTGGTCGCTAGAACCCAGGCCCTGCAGCGTACCGGGAGCCTGCTCCCCACCCCTGCAAACTTCCCCTCCCACTCAGCTTTGCCCACTCAGCCTTTAAAGTCACCTTTAAATGTTACCTCCTTCACCTGTCTTGCCTGACATCCTCCCCTGCAGGCCCTGTAATTATAGATTCGTGTGACCCTTTGATGGAAGTCCGCCCCCATCCTAGACCCATGGGTCCCTGAGGTCACACTGTGCCTTGTCCCTCCAACTGCACCCCTTGGCCAGGCAGTGGTGATGGATGAACAGGGACTGTAGGCTTAATGCTGACCAGCAAGGCTCAGGCTGGGAGCCAGGGGATTCAATAGGAGGGTAGGCAGAGCATACTGCCAGGTATGGTGGCTAAACTTCCAGTGAGCACTGGGTTCAAATCCTGTCGCTAGAAATAACTGCTGGGGGACCGGAGGTATGTAACAGACTGTAGCCTGCCAGGCTCCTCTGTTCATGGAATTTACCAGGCAAGAATACTGAAGCAGGTTGCCATTTCCTACTCCAGCCAATCTTCCTGACCCAGGGATCGAACCTGAGTCTCCTGCATAGGCAGGCGGATTCTTTACCACTGTGTCACCTGGGAAGTCTGTTAACAACGTTACCTGGCCTGGTCTGCTCCAGCCTGGAGCCTGCTCTGCCCTCCAGCAAGGAGTTAACCCAGACTCAGCCACAGGCTCCCTCCCAGTCCTGCGCCCACTGCATTTGGCCCCTCCCTGCACCCTTGCAAAAAAGCAAAATGGCTCTCCAAAGAGGCCTAACAAATAGTTGTGAAAAGAAGAGAAGCGGAAAAACAAAGGAGAAAAGGAAAGATATACCCATTTGAATGCAGAGTTCCAAAGAATAGCAAGGAGAGATAAGAAAGCCTTCCTCAGTGATCAGTGCTAAGAAGTAGAGAAAAACAATAGAATGGGAAAGACTAGAGATCTCTTCAAGAAAATGAGAGATAACAAGGGAACATTTCATGCAAAGATGGGCTCAATAAAGGACAGAAATGGTATGGACCTAACAGAAGCAGAAGATATTAAGAAGAGGTGGCAAAAATACACAGAAGAACTGTACAAAAAAAGATCTTCATGACCCAGATGATCACGATGGTGTGATCACTCACCTAGAGCCAGACATCCTGGAATGTGAAGTCAAGTGGGCTTTAAGGAAGCATCACTATGAACAAAGCTAGTGGAGGTGATGGAATTCCAGCTGAACTATTTCAAATCCTAAAAGATGATTCTGTGACAGTGCTGCACTCAATATGACTGCAAATTTGGAAAACTCAGCAATAGCCACAGGACTGGAAAAGGTAAGTTTTCATTCCAATCCCAAAGAAAGGCAATGCCAAAGAATGTTCAAACTACCGCACAATTGCGCTCATCTCACACACTAGTAAAGTAATGCTCAAAATTCTCCAAGCCAGGCTTCAACAATACGTGAACCGTGAACTTCCAGATGTTCAAGCTGGTTTTAGAAAAGGCAGAGGAACCAGAGATCAAATTGCCAACATCCCCTGGATCATCAAAAAAGCAAGAGAGTTACAGAAAAACACCTACTTCTGCTTTATTGACTATGCCAAAGCCTTCGACTGTGTGGATCACAACAAACTGTGGAAAATTCTTCAAGAGATGAGAATACCAGACCACCTGACCTGCCTCTTGAGAAATCTGTATGCAGGTCAGGAAGCAACAGTTAGAACTGGACATGGAACAGACTGGTTCCCAATAGGAAAAGGAGTATGTCAAGGCTGTATATTGCCACCCTGATTATTTAACTTATATGCAGAGTACATCATGAGAAACGCTGGGCTCAATGAAGTAAAAGCTGGAATCAAGATTCTCGGGAGAAATATCAATAACCTCAGATATGCAGATGACACCACCCTTATGGCAGAAAGTGAGAAGAACTAAAGAGCCTCTCAATAAAAGTGAAACAGGAGAGTGAAAAAGTTGGCTTAAAGCTCAACATTCAGAAAACTACGATCATGGCGTCCAGTACCATCACTTCATGGCAAATAGATGGGGAAACAGTGAAAACAGTGGCTGACTTTATTTTTTGGGCTCCAGAATCACTGCAGATGGTAATTGCAGCCATGAAATTAAAAGACAGTTACTCCTTGGAAGGAAAGTTATAACCAACCTAGACAACATATTAAAAAGCAGAGACATTACTTTGCCAACAAAGGTCCGTCTAGTCAAGGCTATGGTTTTTCCAGTAGTCATGTATGGATGTGAGAATTGGACTGTAAAGAAAATTGAGTGCTGAAGAATTGATGCTTTTGAACTGTGGTATTAGAGAAGACTCTTGAGAGTCCCTTGGACTGCAAGGAGAGTCAACCAGTCCATCCTAAAGATCAATCCTGGGTGTTTATTGGAAGGACTGATGTTGAAGTTGAAACTCCAATACTTTGGCCAAATGATGTGAGGAACTGACTCATTTGAAAAGACCCTGATGCTGGGAAAGATTGAAGGTGGGAGGAGAAGGGGACAACAGAGGATGAGATGGTTGGATGGCATCACCGACTCAATGGACATGAGTTTGGGTTAACTCCGGGAGTTGGTGATGGACAGGGAGGCCTGGCATGCTGCAGTCCATGGGGTCGCAAAGAGTCGGACATGACTGAGCACCTGAACTGAACTGAACTGCATCCTTGCGTCCACCAGTCCTCAGGGGAACCTCTAAGACAGGTCTATTAAATGCTCAGGTAGGGCTGGATGGTGATCTATGTGGAGACCAGGGGAAATGCTCATTTCCCTGGGGATCAAAGAAAATGCCAATTGCCCAGCTTCAATCGAAGTGAGCTGGCAGCTAGGTCTGCCAGCTGGAAAGATGGGGTCTCCTGGAGGAAAGGACATCAGGTTCACTGGGAAGGGAGTCACCCTCATGGACTCCCCGAGACTCCAATCCTGGGAGTCTAGGGGGTGACCTGGGCTCTGAGGGCATTTGTTAAGCTTCAAGGTGCTTTGCCTCCACAGCCTAGGATGAGGGAACCTCTGTTTCCTAGGCTCCTAGGTTTCCCATAGAAGCTTGTGAGTAGGAATGCTGGGGTTGAGGCCCAGGAACCTCCATTTCTGATACCATCCCCTCCCTCCTCCCCACCAGCCCTCTTGTTTGAGAACCTGCTCAGTATTCCAAGCCTCTTTCAATCCTCATGTCCACACTAAGGAGGTTCTATCATCCACATCTTACAGATGAGGTTAGGCCACTGCCCAGGGTCACCCAAGCTGAGGAAAGGCTGTGGTTTATGAGCTCCCCTTCCCCCCATGAAACTGCATCATGGATGGGGGATAACGAGGAACCTGCCGAATCTGTTGTCTTCAAAAGGCAGGTGGGAGAGTTCCCATTTGCCCCTGTCCCTGGCCTGTCAGTCCAGGAAGGCCAGAGCCAGGGTCGGGCAGAATGGAGATGGGGAGACACTGTGTAGAAGTGCCTGGCTGTGACCACTGAAGCTCTGCCATGAGGCGAATTCCCAGGGAGGAGGAGGAGAGTGTTATATGGCAGCTACATCCAGCCCAGCTGACTTGCATCTCCCAAGGAGAGACTTTGTTTCTCAGGCCTTATTGCCGAGTAGGGCCTGAGGAAAGGCAGAGAGTGGAGGGCCAGGATCAGCTCCCCTCCCCTGCCCCACCACCTCCCCGCTGGTCCTGCAGGAGAAGCCTCTGGCCCAGGGACCACAATGGCCCACTGCCCATCCCCGGGCGGCCAGCAGACCAGATGGGGGGGGACGTGGCTTCCTTGCAGTGATGGTCACTGCATCGTCTCCACTCTGTGCAGCTGCACTGCCCATGATTCTCTTTGAGCTTGTCAACAGCCCCCAAGGGGAGACAGGCAGGTCATTACCATGTGACGGGAGCATGTCGAGGCTCAGGAGTGGGAGAGGGACACAGTTCATGGCTGCTTGAGGCCACTCTGTGCCAGGCCCCTTCAGCGATTCTCAACCTGAGCATTCAACAGGGTCATCTGGGGAGCTGGAGTTACAAGTTCAGACGTGGCCCCCCACCCCTGAGCTGACGAACCTAGTGTCTGCATCTCGGATGAGCCCCCCAAGGCTGCCCCAGTGTTGGTTGAGAATACCAGGTCCAGCACAGCCTCTGCTCAATCACTGAAATCCCTGTAGGCAGCAACGGTGCCAGGGGGCACCCCAGTCCCTGAACCACAAGCTCCACTGGGACTCTAGCCACCTTCAAGAAAATCTTGCTTAGTAAGAACAATGAGCTTGAGATGACAAAGAAGCTTCCAGACAACCCCTGCCCGCTCCCCAAAACCCACCCCAGCCAGCCTGTCCTTCAACTAGAGGATAAGCCCTTCCCTTCAAGGACCCCTGGATACTGTGGTCTCCTTTTTTTGGCAGGTGAGGACAGCAAAGCTTAGAGAAGCTGGACAATATGTTCAAGGTCATGAAGTGAGTAGGTGAGGCTGGGAATGGAGGCCGAGAACCTGGGCCTCCTCTGGGTCAAGACCAACCCCCAAATGCTGCCACCAGTGGGTGCAGGGGAGGAGGGCAATGCCAGCCCTGGGTGCCTGAGAAGCACATAGGTTAATAGGGTGGAGGCCAAGGCCCTGGCATGGGGGGCTCAGGCTGGGGCTGGATGGTGGGACGGGCAGGCCTAGACTCCTT